TACCTGCTGCAAAACTGCCTTATTTTCCATTTTAGTTTTTTAATATAGTTCTACAACAAAATAGTAGCTGCATAAGAAAACAGCTTTTTACTGAACCAGTCTCTTTCCACATATATTCCTGTTCATATCCTCTTACTTCAGTGGCTGAAATAAAGCAATGGAGTAAAGAAGCTGGGGGAGGGTGCTGTAAAGTAAAACCACGCTGTTTTACTTTTATTAACACCAGAAACTGCTCCATAAAGAGCAATCTATCTCTATATAGTTTGATGGTATTTGTTTTTTTTTGTGTTTACTAATGAAATGATTAACTAAAACCCAATTGTTGAATCGTTACTGCTGCTGATAAAATACAAGAAGCAGATTTGGTTAAAAGTGCAGGGTTGTTTTTCTCTTTGTTTTCTGTTTTGTGCTTTCATAGATCTGAGAATACTACTCATCTTTGCACAGGCAGGGCCAGAAATAAAATACCTTTTCTTACTGGTCCCTACTATTAGTGGAACATTTTCTTGTCGATGCCAGTTTTATTATAGTTCAGGTATCTTAAACTTTGCGTATTCTTTCTTTAGTCCCTATAATGCAAAGTTTTCTATACTGCAGGTTTCTTATGAAAAGGGATTTGACATGCCTGGTTTTAAGCTTTTTCTTCTAACAGTCATGTTCAGGATGACTACCAATTAAAAATCACTTGGTTTTCAGAGCAAGAAAAATTCTTTAATACACAAAGGATGGCATGCAATTAATAATTTTGAAATGAAAATATTTTTTCTCCTATTGTCTTCATTAATTTTCCCCATTTTTTTACTCAAAAAGGTAGCCACATTCATCCAGCTTTAGACATACCCAGAAATATGCGCTGTTTCAGAGCATCTAAATTAGGTCTCCACTCTGAACTACAAAGAATAGCCTCTAAACTGCATTCAGGTCTTACATTGTAGTTAAGCACCTTAAGACATCATGTTATAAACACAGTTTTGGATATAGGTATGCAAACCACTTTCTGCTAGTGAAAGCCTGTGCAGGTGTATGTGCTACGCTATAGGTATATGCATTTCCTTTCAAGAAACTGATGGGCTTGTAATGGTGTGTGAACTGTGTCTACCTATCTCTTGGAAATAGATAACATGGGAACTTCTTGCAACATGATCTCATAGGAACTACTCATTTTCAACTTTTTCAAGTTGCTGCAGCACAGTTTGATCTCCAGTCATTTCCAGCTGCAGAGTTAGACCTGGTATCACTACTTAGAAAGAGTGAACAGGTGGGTTTAATGACATAGAGGAGACATCTTGGAGCCTCCCATAGTTTTTTGTAAGAATGGCTAAATCTAGCCTCAGTTGGGGAACTCAAAGCTTTAAAATAAACAGTTTGGCATGAGTGAAGATTGTCTGGCTGGGAACTGTTTTAGAAAATATGCCTCCAAACATTGCAATGTAACAAGAGTGATATACAGAGTGGTAGGAAAGACAGGGAAAAGAGGGACTTGTATTTAAGTTTTCATCCAGAATACCTCCTATTGACTTTCTTTCCTTCCTCTTGAAATTTCTTACCAGATTCCCAAGCAGGAGAAAATTTTCTCCTTAAATATAACCAGTCTCTAAGGAGTAGAGCTTGTAGTCAGTAGTCACACTTCCATGCTAACAGATTTATTTACACTGAAGGTTTATACTGAAAATGTATATAACTGCTTGGTATCTTAGTGCCTGTATTTAACCTGTCCTGTTTACAAGGACAGCATCAATTCTCTTAGTTACCTGAGTGTAAATCCTATCTTTTTTTTTTTTTAATGCAATCCTATAGTTCTTTTGCCATCGACAGGAAAGATTACCTGTGTCAATGAGGCTCTCAGTATACTTTTTTAACTCTGTCTTCTTCAGAATGTATTTAGCAGCATCTGTGCAGGTTCAGTGGCTACTGAGCTGTGAAAGGAGTAGCAGGCTAGAATTTACTAAACAATTCGGCTGAAGCTAGATAAATGGAATACAAAATAGTACAGTCAGACTTAGCGGTACGGAATGTAAGTAAACATATTGTGAACACTGGAATTAAAAAGAATGCAAATAGAATTATTTTCACTACAATATTACAGATAATACTGAGTATGTTGAGGGTCTAAAAATCTAAAGAACCACTTTTGGAATAGATCAGAGAAATATTTTCATGTCCGTAGGGTTTCATTCTGTTCCTTGTAAGTACTTGTATGTCCTAGAGATACTAGTAGGAACTTGTCAATTTTAAGACTAAAGAAATCCCCAGGTTATCCAGACTATTAGGTCTTCATATAACACAAGCACATCAAATTTTATTTTACATATTTTTTCTGAGACAAGTAACTTGTGTCAGGCACCACTCAGGAGTAATCTATCTAAACTACCCAAGCCCTACTGGTAAGGAAGTGCTATGCAAAGTTACACAATTAGTATAAGTTATCAGAGAAGGGGAGTTCCCACACCGTTATCTCTGGCAAGAACTTTTGTGCCAGCTTTGGATTAGTTAAGCATGTCTTTCAGGGGAAAAAAAAATAAAATCCATTGCTGCTGCAGATATTACAGGCAATGGAGAAATTACCACTTTCTGAGTTACTTTTTTTCAGGAGTTAATCATTTTCAGTATTAAAAAAAAAAAAAAAAACAAAATAAAACTAAAATCTTTATTTCTTAGCTTATCTTTAGGTTTAGTGACTCGGTCTGCTCTTTCTGCTAGATGAAACAGCTGCTTCATACCTGCTAGTTACACATTATAATCAGGTGTCCTTGATCCTTTTGATGAACTAAGCAGAAACAACTGCCTTGAAAACAGTTTTCCAGCTTAATTACACCTGCTTGTCTGGTAGGAAAAAATCAAACTGAAAAACTATTTTGTGACTGTCACTTTTTGATATATAAATTATCCATGACCAGACTAGATATATTCACTCTTCTAGATAACTTGTGAAATTTTTCTACAAATAATATTTGCTCTTGTTATAGCACAGAAAACAGACAGTGACTAAGAAAAAATATTTTGACTGTAACTAATATAAATAATTAATTATAACTTGTACCAATATTTTTTTTTAATGTATGTGCAAAAGTTTATACATTGAGCCTATTTACTTTGGTTCAGAAGAATTTAATATAAAAACTATCACTCACTCTTCATAAATGTGGAAAGAAATACATAACCAAAATGCAAGGTATTTTCAGACTGTGAGTGTAGAACTTTAGAGGGAAGATTCCAATGCGAGCAGCAGGTAATTAATACAGCGTTCTCTTGCAAAGGCTGTATTCTCATTGTAAATATCATGTGATTTCTCTTTATATTTTGTCAATATAATGACAGATGTGGGACTAAGGTTAACCTTGACTGTTACATTAAAGTGAAATTTGTCTTTTCCTTGTTTTCACTAATTTATAAAAGTTTACATTGCTTGATGTAAAATACATCGGTTTTCAGCAGTGAAAGACATAGCCTGAATCTTCAGACAGTGTGAAACAATAGCTCTAAGGGAAATGTAAATTGCTCGCATTCACTTCTGTGGTGTTATAATTCTGACACTGAATCCTAAAAGGTAACATTTTAAATGTTTTAACAAAATTGGGTAGCAATGCATTTCTTCGGTGTTCAGTAACTGATTTCCTATTTACTTTTTCTACAACACAGTTATCTATGAGAACACTTACAACCTGAAAAAAGTGAAATCCACTTGTTGAAGGGTTTATTATGCTGACTGCATTTTAATATTTAATTCAATAGAATTGAATGCCATGACTGCAGGACTTCAGACTGACTACTGAACCAGTGGGCGTTAGACACAGAGCAACCCCATTTGTCCTGCAAACTGAAGTCAAGGCTCTGGTAGAATAGATATGGCCTTGAATCTCTAGGTACTATCACAGAGTGAATTTAGAAACCTATCTTGTAGTACTCAAAGTTTGTAATTTATTCCAGTGTGGCTTATAATTCTTCTAAATATGACAAAAGAAACTCAGTCATAGAATTTACAACATAAAGCTAACACAGCAGGAATTATATTGGCATACACAATTCATAACCGATGTACATTGTCTTTATATGTCACAGAACACAATATTTAATATAGGAGTAATGTCAGCTTTTTGTGAATATTTAAACATTTTGACCTACTGATCTATTTATTTTGGTGGGTGGTCATGTTAATAAACTCACAGACTCGAATATTTACAGGAAACAGAATGGAAGGTTCACAAAAAAAAAAAGATTAAATTGATTTTTGTTTTTAATGTGAATGAAATAAAATGTTTCATTTATTCACTTAGACCTACCTCCATGTATCTTGTCTCTCTTATTTTTTTTGTCTATATTTGTGCCATCTGTTATAAATTTGGTTACCCTGATAGTGCTTTTTGAGTTATGAAGCCACACTAGGTATTATATGTAAAATGTGATTAAGGACTTGCCAATTCAAGATCACTGTCTATTTGTATTCCAGTGAGGCATTAGAGAATTGAGACCCAGGAGGCTGAAATTCCTGATTTTTTCTCCAAGAAAGAAACAGATTTTCTAGTGAAATCTAAACAGAAACATTAGTATCAGAATTTAATATCAATATTGTGATATCTAGATTGAGCTCATAGCTAGAAGGCAGAAAGAGAGAGACTGCTTTCTACACATACTCTTTCCTGTACAAGGATATATTATCTCACGTTTTTTTGAAGGCTCATTTAATTCATGCTGGCATTCACCAACATTTGATAAACATGTTACTCCTCCCCAGGTGTTCTAACTGAAAGCAGAGATGGACAAAATATATTCTACAGTCTACTAATGACAGGGGTCCGCTATCTTAATGAAAATGTAAAAAATTGTGTTTGTAAAAAATATTTATCAAGATATCTGTGAAAATAAGGATGATGAATGGGGTTCCTACCTTAATTTACATGATTTTGTGTAAAGTTCTTTTTCATAAAGAGATTAATTTTCATGTACTGGAAGCTTCATTTGAACATTATGTAATTTTTTTCTCATCTATGTTTTTTCTCCAGGGCAGTTTGATGATCAGTACCCAGCATAGGATAAGTATTGTGGCTGTGTCTGTCTAGGAGAAATCAGCCAAGAATTCTAACAATGTTCCAAATCCTCTTCTCAAAGATATAATCTGTAGAGAGCATCTACTTCATCTGACAAACATGATTTCAATTCAGGAAAAAGCTCGGAATCATTCTATTGGATCTGACATCAGCGGTATCCACACAGCCATTCTGTGCAAACTCCCTGCTTTTAAAGGTCTTCCCATCACTGTTATTGGTCTCACAGATGATGAAGTATGACACTCCATAAACAATGAGCTGGGCCTTTTGTAGGCTGCTTTGCTTTTTTTGGCTTCAAACTGCCACTGAATGTCAAATCAATTTGGCTCTCATTAGAACAGCTTTATATGTGCAAATGTATTTGTGTCTGGTTGCCACTTTTTTCTATTTTTGCCTTCTTTTCCCTTTGCTTTTTTTTCTCCTCTCCCTTAGATGATGTCATTTTTCTCTAATCAAAGCCAACACCTGTTTCTCTAAAATGGGAGCCTCTGTGTAGAGCTCTTTATCACAGTCTGAGTACACTCTGGATGGGCTCATTATGAATCAAGTTCCCCCAGAACAAAGAAGAAGTGCTCTGTTACAGTGACATTGTACATCATAGAGTCTGGATAAAGTCAAGAGCTGATGTAACTTTGACTTTTGGCATCCCAAGAGACTGTCTAGATAGTACAAGGTGTGTAAGCCCCTGTCTTTGATAAGTAATGAACCAAACAATAAATATGACCCTGTGTTTAAGACCAGCTCAACTGTTACACAAGGCTGTATTGGGCTTAGTGGGGTTCTGGGTTTGTTTGGTTTTTTCTCTTAATCAATTAAAAGGAACATAGAATTGCAACTTTGAGGATTTCTGGTTTCATATACCATGAACTTGCTTGGACAAGCTCAATGAAGAATGCCACAATGAAGGGAATAGAACAAAATAGGGATGACAGAGAACTCCCAGTTTCGTGTCTGAAGATCTGGTCTAACAGAGCACATTGCAAGTAGTCTGAAACAGCTGGAGATTAGGAATGGGGAATTAGAGGGGGAAAGAAACAGTGATTAGCTGAAAAGCTACCATAAACTTTGTGTTGTGACATGGATGAATGAAGCAGGCTCACTTTTCTTGCACTTTGAACCACCTTGCCTCCTACAAGACTTGTCTCATGGAAATAGCTATTGAAGTGTACTGTGCCTGGAATGGCTTTAGATTGTGTTGAATAATGGCATAAAATTCCTTTTTCTCCCCCAGAAATAGCTTTTTTTTGTGAATTTCAGCACAAAACTATTCTCCCTCTTCTCCCCACATCTTACATAAGCTGAAAGCCAGTGTATATTTCCATCTACTTCAGGAGGAATATGTGAGTTTTTGAATAACTAACTACATAACTATACCCAGGTCAGAGGCATGTTCTATCCCAGGTAACAAGGCATTTGTATGGACTCAAGCTACATGCTGTGTCCTGTTGCTTGTGTTGTTCCTTTTGCAGAGAACTAGAAATATTTTTTTACTTCTTTAAGTGGAAAGATATACATTTTAGAAGCTGGGGAACCTACAGATAGAGAGTAGGAGTGAGACAGGAAAAAAAAAGGTGCTAACTATCCCCCAACTCCCTCTAAATGTGAGCGTTTGGCACTTATGAAGGAAGAAGCTTTCTCTGGACATTGCAGCATAGAAATAAAGGAGAAAAAGCCAGCCTTTTCTCACCACTTGCAATAAAGGGCTAAAACATCTTCAGAGGACCTCAGGCCATCCAAGGATGGCCCTTGCTCAGTTTGTGAGTGGATGAACTCACTCCTATATGATGGGAATCTGAGTCAGACACTTTCCAAGGAAAATGCCTATTTTCAGATCTGAAGAAGAGGTTTGCTTGGCTGAGATACTCAGTGATTTCAAATCCAGTGCTAGCTCTAACTGAAATATATTGGTAATCTGCCATCTGTGGTTTTCTTGAGCAGAAATTTTGACTGAAGTCCAGGTCTTAGTAGATATGAGGCCACATTACAAAATCCATCCTCCTACTCGACATCATCCTTCATAGTGTCTTACTATGTCACTGCTTTTGGATTAAGGACTACAGAAAAGTATGGAAAACATGGATACTTCAGTTGCCAAGTCATTTCTTGGTCTCTCTATTGAAGCTATCTATAGTGAATATTTCATTGCTGACATCTATTCTAGCCACAGGATTGTCAAAGCATTTTTTCATGTGTAATAAATTTGCATAAACACTCTATCCCAAATATAATGAAACAGAAATGATAAGAAAGACCTAAAGTATATTTAAAAAAAAATATTAAAAGACTTCTTGATTGATTTGCAGAGGCATAGCAAAATTCCTTCATATAGTGGCCTCATGAATGAGATGATAATATGCAAGTAAAGCATAATGATTGGCATATTAAATACAAGATCTTTGTCACCATCTGTTTCCTGATTGTGTCAGCAAGTTGTTTTTTTTTTCATGGAAGTGTGAGAATACACCATGGCCTCGAAGTATCAAAATGTCAATTATACATCACATTTTAAAGTTGGAAGCCCAAATCACAAAAAACATTTTGAAATGTCCCTGGATTCTGCTTGAAACACTGACAAATTATTACCTATCCTTCACATTTAGCCTTACTGTACAGTAGCATGGTTATTGTGTGGGAAAATAAAACAGAGCAGAAACACTATAGAGGCCAGGTTTACAACTTAGTGATGAATACTTTAAAAAAAAAAATAATACAAAAGGAGAGAGGGAAAGAACTAAGAATTCTGAACTAAGTGAATAGTTGCAAAACAGCCTTATCAAATACTTTTTATTTCAATCTCAAGTGCCTTAAAAACTATTTTGCATTTCTGGTATTTTCCACTACAAATAATACTCACATATAAGGAAGAGAGTATTAATTTTTCTATGTTTTCACCTGCACTGACAGAAAAAAAAAATGCATCCTGGTTAATATAATGAAATCAGTAGAAATTGCAGAGTAGAAAACTTATATCAAAGCCAGCTAAAGTGTAGGAACCTTTCAATTAATTCAGCAGGTCCTGGTTTACACCCTCGGTGGTCTTATATGAGAATTGGTAGGAAATAATGTCTTTATGTCCCACATAGGATGAGGTCTACTAGCACCACCAGCTACCAGTATCATCAGACCAGAGGTAAAGTCACATGAAAAGCTCCTGATTCTGAAATATAAATACAAGTCTCTTCCAAAGCTGAAAAGGCCACTAGGGTCTCAAAGTATTATTTCTGCTAGGATGATGAAACAGAGGGTATAGGTGACTTGTAAATTGATTCTTCACTCACTGAAGACACTGATAAGATCACTAAATAAATGCAATGGCCTTTAGATTTGTTCCTAGACCAATTATTATTCTAGTGAAAATGAAATGGCTATGTCTGTGTAAAATGTGATGAAAAGCATAATCATGTCCAACCAATCTAGCATGGGCTAAGTTGGAAGAAGAACTGTAGGGGTCTAAATGAAAAGAAGTGACCTCCCAAACTTGTACCTAATTGGACTTCTGATGGAGCATAATGAACACATTTCTTCTATCTCATAATTTCTGATTATACTAATATTAATACATGATAAGATATACAATCAACTGTTCAATACTGCTTATGTGATATCTACAGATAAATTATAAATTTTTGCAGTAATAAGGCAACAATTTATAACATTCAAAAGTGATTCCAAATGAAGCTGATTCCAAAATGAGGAGACTTCAAGTAACATAACTTGTATTACATGTTTGGGATCATTCTCTGTGCCTGTAAAACAAGGATGCTAATACTTAACAATTATAAAGTACCTTGACTTTAAGTTCTAGTATGGCTATTTATATTAAGCATGCATATGTGTGTATATTAAGTTAAAAATGTTGGGAAGTTTCAGTCTGGAATTTCTTATTTAGGCAGTTCTCCATGTGCAATTGTATATAGGCACCCCTTCATTAGTAATATAAACCTTTTTTCCTACTTCAAAAGTTCATGTAAATGATCTGTGAAGTTTCAGCAGAGATTTGTGTATTTCTAGTGGAGCAGCATGCTCTGCCAGACACTAGACTCTCCATTCATTAGCAAATATTCGTCATCAGCTGCTGGAAAGCAGAAAAGAATAAAAGTCAGAGTTGAAACCGTGCAACCATAGTTTGACTGATAAAGTTTGTAGCCTGAACCTACATATACTTAGGAACCAACACTGTGAGCAGAAAAAATTAGTATGTGAGAAAAAAGCTCTTCTGAGAGCTTTCACGAGTGTCTGTTGCCAAGGTAACCACTGTATGTATGTCTTCTGAACAGGTACCTTTTAGGGGTCTGATTCTCATCTTGTGCATCTCACACTGAGATGTCAGCTGCATGCAAGCAGTAAGGGTCCAGCAGTAGAAACACACTGAAAAATAATTAGTGTATTACTAACAGATGTGTTTTTATATGTATGCACACTGCTGGTGTCATTATCTTTTCTGAAAGTGTGGTCTGGGTATATGTGTGATAATTAAATATTTTTGAAATCTGTCTGTGAACATCAGTCCATGTCTCAGATTCTCATAGCAGGGACTGAAAGTAGTCTTTAATGTCTCTTTACCATTTGTTTTTCCTTTCTGTAAGTCCATGATACAGTTTTTCCGTTCATCCTCTATAATGTCCTCTATAACATATGAGAGATAGTTTGACTTTTATTTTCACTTCTGGCTGCCACTTTTTTCTTTTTGACTGCTCTCTCAGGCGTCACACATGAAGAAAAAACCCCTCTTGCACCTTATTTTTTTAAATGAAACTTTTGTTATTTAGGACTTGATCTTGAAACAAGTGAGCATAATAGAAGTTTTGTTAGATAGCCATGTATTTTTCTTTTCCCTCACATCAGGAATAAGTCATACAAAATTATATGCTTTGTTCTATGTATTCACCTGGAACCTTCAAAAGAATGTTTTGAGGATTTCTGTCATTCCCCGCTCAATAGTCTTAGCAATTGTGGAACTGTTGTACTCTGGATATTCTTATTTTCTAGATTTCTATCTGTATTCTCTTTAAAAATACACTATAAAATTCATTATATATGTGGTATAAAACACATCTATTTCTTACAAGAAAAAACAAAACAATTTTCTTAATCTTTTGATTGAAAATACATTATCTTTACTAAGTTTTCCTTTAACATTTATAAGGTAAAACCAGGAATTAGACTGTTTCAGAACAACAACTGCAAGGCTCAGTATTGCAAGTGCTTATACTTGAGCAACTGTATTCAGAAGAGTAGACTTTCTGAGTTCAAAGTGAAGTCAGTTGAATTATCAATCTGAGTAAGACTACTCAGGTGTTTAAGGTATTTAACAAGGATTTCAAAATAGAAGTGATGTTGCTTGAGGCTGTAAATCTATAGTTGGGTGTGAGTTCTTAGTGAGAAAAAAAAATCATAATATTTAGAGTGGATTGCTAGTACAAAAAGATGTCTATACTTTATTCATGCTAGTTTTAAAATGAGCTGGATTCAGAAATATTCAAAGTTCTTTTGTGTTCATTTCTGCAGACACTGAGGCAATCAAGATTCACTAGTGTTGTTTGCTAAAATTAAATATGAAATTCAGAGAAGTATTTGTAAAATGTGCTAATAGTTTTATTCTATCAGAATACTTATCACAGAAACAATGCCTTGTCACTTAGAAAACCAACAGCAATTAGACAGCACAATTCAATTACTTTACATGGAGCATCAAAAACATCCAAGAGAATGATCT